GGATGATGGATGGATGGATGGATGGATGGATGGATGGATGATGGATGGATGGATGGATGGATGGATGGATGGATGGATGGATGGATGATGGATGGATGGATGGATGGATGGATGGATGGATGATGGATGGATGATGGATGGATGGATGGATGGATGGAAGGATGGATGGAAGGATGGATGATGGATGGATGGATGGATGGATGGATGGATGGATGATGGATGGATGGATGGATGGATGGAAGGATGGATGGAAGGATGGATGATGGATGGATGGATGATGGATGTTGATGATGTATACGGGCTCGGGACACGCAGCGCTGGGATGATGGGTGGGGGCAGGTGGGCTCTCCTCCTCCCCTACAGGAAGTACATGCGCTGTTCTTCCCTTCATGAGAAGTCATGAGAAGAAGATGCTGGCAAAGGAGAAGAAAGACCTTTAACTTTACTTGATTCCCTGTGATTCTGCATGTGGATCAAGAAACGTGCTCAGGACAAAGAGCTTGGAAGCCTGAGGTTCTGAGTTTGAGCCCCACTCCCACAGACTGCCACTCTGGGTCCCTGAGCAAGACCCTTATCCCCTGATTGCTCCCCGGGTGTCCCACAGTGGCAGCCCACTGCTCCCCAAAGGGATGGGTTAAATGCAGACAGTTAATTTCTCCTTTCTTTTTTTTCTCTGCCTTACTTCCATCTTTATGTCCAGTGCATTTAAAATCAGACTAAAGCAAAAATCTGTTTGGCATTTGGATATCAGTCCTGAGTGCTACGCTGTCAGATAGTCCGATTTAGGAAATTAAAGATTTAAGTTCAATAGCCCAGATGTTCTGAAGTGGTCAGGAGAAATATTTAGAGAACTCTGGACTTGTTTGAGTTCACATTGTGGCGCATCGCTTCATAAATTAACGTTTAGAGCTATTCGTTACTACAGCTGAATTTCATCAGGCTTCCAATGGTCTGGGTTTATTCCCCTCTGCTCTGGAGTCCATGCACTCAGCTTGTGCAGCGTCATTACTCATTACCCAGCTGCTGATTTTATTTTTATTTTCTTGTTTCCACGCTCCTGCTCTGCTCCTCCCTACTGTTAGTTTGTAACCTTTGTCATCACTAATCTCTGGGTTGGGCAGGGTGCCTCTGAGTGCATGAATGAGAGTCTCAATATATGTTNTCTGACTTTTTTCTCATATTGGACTGCAATAAAATCTATAATTCAGTAAACTTTTTTTGTATTTGTGGCCCTAATCCTCTCCCGTACTGAGCTGACAGGTGTGATGGAGGATGATGGAGTCAGTCACCTGCTGGAGATCCACGATGTTGATTCTTCCTGCAGAACACAATCAGATGGGGGAGTGAGCATTTCTTTCTAAAATGTTCAAACAGAGCCTTTCTCTGTGCTACTGACCTCCATGGACGTACAGCTCGTCCCGGATCTCCCTGCTGATCTGGGCTGGAGTGATGTACTCCTTCCCATCCAAAGTATGAACCACATCCAGCTTCTTGTCCTGAACCAGCTTAGTGATGATTTCTATGCAGTTCCTCTCCGACAGCCTGGAGACAAAAAAGCCCGGCGGTGGTTTTAGGAACCAACAACAGGAAGGTTGTCTTCACATTTATAAACTACATTAAGCCAGTGTTCACAGTGACAGGCTGGGTTAGCTCCTGCTAGCTGAGCTAGCTCCTGTTAGCTCTTACTGTCTTACCTCTGCACGGTGTCTGCGAACTGAGCCCGCTGGAAGTCAGCGGCCAGCCGGCGGATCTCCTCCCAGTCAGCCGCCATAGTTCCACAAACAGGAGGCAGCTGTCAGTGCTGCTTCACCTCACCTTTCTGCACACCGCTGTTAGCTAGCTGAGCGTTAGCTCTAACCCAGAGCAACACGTCAACATAGAGTGACGTAGGACAGCAACCCTGGAGGTCCAAAATGGTTCCTCTTTTCTATTGTGGCGGAACTTTAAGGTGCATACCGCCACCTACTGTACATGAGTGTTTAGTAACATTACTTTACATCTATCAAATTCTATTTTCTTTATTTTGTATTCTGAAGATAAATAAATAAAGCTGTTCTTAATTCGTGAATATACTTTATATTTCCTTAATTTCCCAATATTCTAGACTCCATTCTTCCATCCATTCTTCTCAATTTCTCCCATTCATGTTCAAGTTTTACAGTTCATCAGTACGTGTTCTACATTTTATTTTTCTCCTCATCCTTCACATTTATCATTATTATTCCTCCCTATTATTAAGTATAAATTGTCCTTTAAATAGGTATGACCCACTCTTAATCTGATCATTATTACTGAGCACCACCAAGTCAGAAGCTTCAGCACCTCACTGTAACCAGGTGATGGATGGATGGATGGATGGATGGATGGATGGATGGATGGATGGATG